GACATTTGGGTTACAAGGCCTTCATGCTGCAATACTGCCTGACAAGTGGGTCAAGTGTAATGTCATGACATTTGAAACTGAGCTGGCTTTCCAATTCTGATTCTGACATCCATAAGAACTTGACTTTTGGTGAATGTGTGTCGGGTGCAGCTCTGAGACCCAGCAACAACCAGGGTCTGTTCCTGCTTGATAATCTTGACTCTCAACCATGCAGCCAAGCCTTATTTGCAGAGTTAGGGGTGCCTGGCATTACATGGAAGAGAACAGACCAGCGCATGGCTATCAGCTGAATGAAAGCGCAGGAAACCCCCTTGTAAGGCCTTGTCGTAGGACCCAGTGCTGCATGGGATTAAGTGTGGAGGTGAGATCAAGGCCATTTGAGAGTAACAGAAGTGCAATGCAGAGAGGACCACTTAGGTAAGCCTGTTTGGGAAATAGTCACGGAGGCATAACATAGGGATGAAGGGAGATAATTCAAAGTGTAAACCACACCTTCACTGTTAGGAGTTAAATTTAGGGATCTAGGAGTCAGGTTAAGGGTTTAATGATCCAGCTAGTTTCTCATAGGGTGTCATTAATGATGACTATGCAGTCATGAGCAGTATAAGGTGACAACTCTGTGGCAATGGGAAGGAAAATTAGAATGAGAACTGTGTTATGGAAAGGAGAGAAATGTCTGAGGCATGTGCTGTGCTAACGTGATGCCCAAATCTGTGCTGAGAGTACTATAACCTACTCTACCACACCATGTTTCATTGATCAAACAGTAGAGTGCAGATCGAGCATTCAGAAACATCCTGACTGAACGTCAGGAAAAGCTGCAGCATTTGAGGACAAGGATCCAAGCAGTAACTGAAGTTGCAGAGGATAATTGTTATTAGCCTTGTGTCTGAGTCACAGACCAGAGACTGGGTATCTTCCTGGATTGTGCCTTTTGCATTCACTCGAATGATTAATTCAGAGGCAATTATTAACTTCATCTTCACAGCATGGAACAGGATTTCCATTGCTCTGCAATGGCTGTGCTTTACTATTACACTCAATAGTAGAACCTTCAGAGATTTCAGTGGGATCCCAGCTGGGGTGTCCCTGAACACTTAACAAACCATACCCATTTTGGCTGACCTTATTTACCTGTGCAGGCAACTGGACATCACCTACTGAAAGCCACATGAGTCTTGTCCATCCTGACTGTTGTTTGCAGCTTTCTGGAGCATGTAGTTGTTTCCCCTTTAGTTCATGCACAAGGAGGGAAAGGCTGCTGGTGTTAAGTGAGGCAATGGGAATGGTAGCTGTATAGTTATCGGTGGCTTGCAGCTAAAGAATATATTCAGGCTGTATGATGAAGGTATTTGAACACCTACTCACAGATTCTTTAAGCAGAGTTCTGCTTTCTAAATTGTAGCACCTAGACCTATTTTGCTTTTGCCTCTAGCTCAGCTTTAATCATCTTTGACAGTAAAATCAGGGAGAAGCATTTTTGCAAATGTTTACACCTATTCACAAGGATTTGAAATGAAAATTAAGCGTTATTGATTCCAATGTTAGGGTAACCCAATCTCCTGTACTCCTAAATGGCAAATTCCAGTCCATTTAGGAGACTTTGAATTTAAGAGGGTACTCCTGCCTTTAGCAGCAGTTAATGTGCCTGGTATCTTGCTATGTCATCTTGCTATGAGTACCAAGGTGCCATCAGTGTTTGTGGAGGTGTAAATTCATCAGGCTTTCAGCTTTTCATGCAGCTGGAAGCTCCTGGCTTGTGTCAGCTCAGGCAGACCTGGTAAGTAAATCAATTATTTGCCTAATTCCCCTCAGCTGAGCATAGCTGAGGGCAGGCTGAACACTGATTAGGTGGGCATGGCACACACCATGGCTGCTATTGATCTTTGTAAAAGCCAAGTAGATCTGTGCCTACAGCTTAGATGGATGGATACCCAGTTGAGAGGAAAAGGTACGGGTGTAGGTGCAGAGACCATAGGAAAACAACTGTATGTGCTGAAACAAGTGTTTGATTTTCTTCCATTTTTTTTCTTAAGAAAAAAGAAAGGAAGAAAAGGTTCCATGTGAGTGATTGTATGGTTTTCTCAGTGGCAATTAGTTAACCTGCCACTATTGGTTTTCAGTGGAAGTGCAAACAGTGAGCTGCTTGTATCTAGTAAGTGTAGAGAAAGCCTAATGTGTCTTTTTCCTGCACCATGGAGTTGGCCTGTGCATGACAAGCTGGAGGGCTTCTGGAATAAAAGAAAGGGTACAGCTGAGGAAACAGGGAGGAGGTGCTGGTTTAGGAAGCTCAGCAGATTCCTTGCAGTGATTTCAGGGGAAAATCTCACCAGTTGAAATGGCTTCAGAGAGCCTCTTTTCAACACAATATGATTTTGATAGCCCTCAGCAGCTTGTTCCTGTAAGTGTTGCTATCCTGCTCTCCTGCTTTAGTGTACAGCGTACATGGCTGGTTGACAACTGAATTTTCATTCTTGATGGGTAAACTTCTGTTTCCAACTGTGCTGAGCACTCTTCAAAAGAAATGGTCCCCTCAATGTATTATAGGGAATTACAATCTTTTTGGCTCTATCACAAGTGGCTGGTATGGTCAGATAACTTAAAACTCTTACACCTTCTATATTTCCCAATATAGAATTGGAAAACAATTGCTTACCTTCTCAAGTAAAAGTAAGGAACTTGGGAAATTTGGGTGGTGGTTTAAAGAACAAAGTTCACCGTGATCTGGCAGTGTGTGGTTACAGTCCGTCTGCTTGTCTGCATCAAAAGGAGCATGACCAGCAGGTTGAAGGAGGGTATTCTGTCTCCCCCCTACTCTGCTCTGGTGAGACACCCCCCCCCCCCCCATCCCCCGCAGTCCTGTGTCCAGCTCTGGGGCACGAGCACAAGAGGGATGTGGAGCTGATGGAGTGAGTCCAGAGGAAGCCATGGAGATGCCGTGAGAGTTAGAGCAGGCCTGCTCTGAAGGCAGGCTGAGAGAGCTGGGCTGGTTCATCCTGGAGAAGAGAAGGCTCTTTAAGGAGAGACCTTAGAGCAGCTCCAGTGCCTAAAGGAGCTGCAAGAAACCTGGAGGGGGGAAGTTTTACAAGGACATGTAGTGACAGCATGTGTAGTTGCCCAGAGAAACTTTGGCTGCCCCATCCCTGTCTGCGTTTAAGGCCAGGCTGGACGGGGCTTGGAGCAACTTGCTGTAGTGGAAGGTGTCCCTGCCTGTGGCAGGGGGTTAGAACTAGATGATGTTTGAGGTCCCTTCCAACCCAAACCAGTCTGTGAGTCTGTTGCCGTAACATCTCAAGCCCTTGAATGATAAATATATATTGATGTTGCATGGTTTTCTGGAGAAGCCTATGAGCATGGAGATTTCCTGATTAGCTGAGAAATAGTCTGAAAATTATTTTGGAATGGAGGAGATAGGTAGCATCTTCCAGATCTTCTGTCTTTGCATTATTTAGGCAATGTGAAAACAAGGCATTTAGGACAACCAGAAAATAAGGCTGCCTTTACCTGTCTGGAGCATCAGCATCAACAGGATCAGAAGCATCAGCTTCTCACAGAGTAGTTCCTCATGACATATTCTCAGGATGTATTGCATAACACTTCTTCTATTTGTCTTCCTCTTATGTACTTGGTGTGTGCTGCAACAAAGTCAGCCTTATTAATCCATGTGTGTGGTCTACTACTTGCTTCTTAGTTGTCTCTGTTGGATAATTAAATCTGAATGCTGGGAAAATATTTGAAAATCTTATCTGTGCAGTGTCTTATAAAAATCAGTTACTGGCTACAGAAATACCCCATTTACCAGATTTATCCCTCCTCTCCTTTTGTATATTGATAAAAAGCCCATGGAGAATGCCTACTAACAGAGCTAGTATGTCTTCGTACTTTGGAATCCAGTAAGATTAATGCTTGCTGCACCTCTATTGTGGGAAGTCTGTTAGTTGAAATGATCAGTATTTCAGTACTGAGCTGCTCATCTCGGGATCTGTTGACTCACCCTTGTATATTCTATAATGTAATGCTCTAAAGTGAGAATGTGCCACAGGTGTTCAGTGTGGTAGTGTCAGTGTGATTTTCAGAACTTCCTCATTTATTCAGAAGCTATTGGAAATTGTTGAAAATATGAAACAAATACATCAGTTTTAAGAAGTAACTCACATATTCTCTTCCCCAAAGGTGGGGAGGAGATGTGACTGAAGGATGCGAATTGTACTCTGTCAGTGGAATTAGACTTAGAGGTGAGGATGGGTTCTCTGAATGATGTGCAAGAGGCACTTGCTGATCCTTGTAAATAAATGTAGAAAAGATAATCTGTAGAAAGATTTTGGCATGTGAATGTCTACTGAGAACAGTTGATGTTTCAACAGAAGTATGTTTTCAGTCCTTCAGCAATAGCTTTATAATTTAACCACTATTAACTCTAGTCTGAGAAAATCAATGATTAATAAATATTGTGTAGATTTGGTACTTTAGTTTTTGATCAGCTCTTCATTTTACAGTGCAGCCATATCAATACATGCTAAACTATAATATAAATGTAATGTGGAGAGGATTTTTTTTCTTGAGATGTGACAACTCCATGTTCTGTAATCAAATATTTTTATGGGAAGCAATACAGTCTCGGATTTGGAGTGACCTGAATGTTGGTGCTGGCTTCCACTTTCAGGTTTATTTCAGGCTTTCGGGCTTAATCCCAAACTAGTGATGCAAAAGCAAAAAGACTAGATCATCTCTCTTTTCCAGACTGCTGAGAGACTGATGATAGGCTTATGAATTTATTTTCCTTCTCACTCTGTTTTTGCAGGTTCTAAATCACAAAACTGCTTGTGGAACACCATTATCGATGGGCTGACCGGCAACCTCAAGGAAAGGCCAAAGCCGACCATCATCAACGACCCTAGACCTCCTGAAGAAATTCTAGCAGATGAACTACCACCAGTGGACAGTCCTGAAGCGCTGGTGAAAACATCTTTCAGGTCTGACTGACACGAGTTTACTTTGTCCTCTAGAGGTTATTGTTTTAAGATGGAGTCTGCAGTGTGGGTTTGGTGAGAGATATAGATACAAAAGGATTCTGCCATGCTGCATATCTTTATACTGAACAAGAGTGAAAGAAAGAGGTCTGTAAGCAATACTGGCTGGACTCATCTTTGATTAGCCTTCCTAAATGATTATGGGCTGGACAGATATGAAGTCTGTAGCTAGCCAAAACTGTCAAGAAAGACTTCATAGACAGATATGAAGTCTGTAGCTAGCCAAAACTGTCAAGAAAGACAGCTTGTTATATGAAGATATCTTTGAAGGTTGGTATTGTTTCATTTGAAAGTGTTTTAGTGATGAAGACTTGCCCTTTAGATCTGATGATTAGTTTTATTGATGCAAGGGAAAGCTGAAACTTCTGTTGGTGTAATGTCTTGAGAATGATCTAGCATTAATTTATTCTGTCAAGGAGAAGGGTCCTGGCCAGGGGCTTGCAAGCGATTGCTGGTGTTGTAAAGTGTGTGATGTATCTCTTGCTGGGTTTTTTTCTTGTTTATTAATCATGTGGATGTACAGTTGTCAAATGTTTCTTGGAGGCATGTTTTCTGAAAACAGTTTTCTCAGAATGAGGTGGAAAAAGAAGCTGTGTGCATGCAGGGCATCCTTGACCATAATGTGGAAGCTGGTGTCGTAGCAAAAGCAGAGTGGCAGAATTGATTTCTTTTCCAAGTGGTTTTGAGCTTTGTTGTTCTCTTTGAAAAACCATGCTCTGTGTTCTCTTATACTAAGTGCACATGTGTGCAAGTGTAAAATGGGGTTTGCTTTGGATAAATCTCTCTGACTACAGTATTTTTTACTTGTACCCCAGTCTGTCATTCTTATTTCAGTCTTCATATAATCATTATTTTGAAGTTACTTATTTAAGTCATTATATTGGGTAGTAATTTAAGATACTTTGTTTATACTGCTTGCCATTTAAAAACACATTGACCAGAAAGTGAGTTTATGTCAGTCTGTGTAAATAAATCTTGTAATTCCCTAGTGCATTTTCATTTTTTAATGCTTCCATTGAAATGATTCAGCAGAAGTGTTTCAGAACCTGGATCCTCCTTTTATGATGACCTGACCTGTGGTATTTGATGGCTTTTCAACACTTTGTGTCTCTGCTATTTCAAATCTACCACTTCAAGATGTCTAACTTTTCTTCAGCTTTCATTTCTCATAACATTACATTGCTATAGTCAAGATAATTTCAACCATTTTATATGACAACATAATGCCACAGTGTTCCAAATGGCATGATTTGATTATGTGAGTAGGGGTGACTGTTGGAAGAAGTGCTCTTGTATGTGGCATGAGGACTGATGAGTTGGAAAATGTAATGTAGCAAAATGGTTTTGTTAATGCAGTTTAAAAGGGTTTACAAACATGACTGAACCTTTGTATTTCATCAGTATTTGCATTACTGTATGATGTGACATTTTGTGGGGACTTTTATATCTGGAAATCCAAACAAATTGTCATTACAGAGTAAATTGAAACTGCCTAGATTTATAAAGAAAGGAAGTCCCTTGTGTGTTTGAGCTATGCAGAGGAGCGGAAGATAGGAGAGTACATTGCAATTACTGCCTGAAGGCGTCAGAAAATGAAAACACTGCAGTGTTTTTATTCAGTTTGGGGTCTTGTTGATGTCACGGTGCTAACTGGGGCTTAGGAGGCTGTACCATCTTTTATACCATGGGTTGCATGATTGATTCATCAGGGTCTTTTGTGGGTCATGACCTTCAACTGCTTCTTTGACAGTGTGAGACTGGCGTGTCTGAGTGGCAGAGGTTCCCTGGTTGTGCTTTCCTTGTTTACCAGACACCAATGGAAGATCTCGCTACTCTGCTGCCTTTTGGGAAATGAAACAAGCTTTACAAGTTGCCCAGTCAAGAATGTCTTCATTGGTAATCTGGTGCTGAATCTCAGAGGGTTTGAGGGCCAGTGTTGGCCTTGTTTGAACTGATTTTACAGGGAGAAGAACCAGGCCTTGTTTTCGAACATGACTGCTATGAACTCTAAAATGCAGCTTGTCCCTTACTGCTTGTGATTCACTGCTGTTAGAGCAGTGTGTGGCACTATGATCCCTTTCATGCATAGTTAAAAAGATGTCTCTCCAGTGTCAAATGAGTCACACTTCCTTCTAATTGTGTATCCTTTTATGTGAATACACATAAGCAGCATGAAATCCCAGTTGCCACCTCTCCTATTAGCTCTCGTTTTCTACTGTGCAGTACTTGCTGTTCTGCAGCTTGGAAAATTGAGAAGAGATCAATGTTCAATTTTGTTCAGCATTGAGATAGGAGCTTGAAACACATTTAAACATAAAAGGAGGAATGTGGTTATTTCAGTCATTTCAGACATACTTTCCCCGCAATAGTAATTTAAGTTGTGAAGCAACAGCCAAATGACACCAACCTCTTCTCTGCACCCCAAATAAGCGTAGTGCATGATCTCTTCATAATTAAAAAGTGTTCTGATACACTTATTATATTTTTCTTATACAATGATTTTTCTCATACAATTTTTGTACTGTATATATACAATGTATATAAAAAGCGTGCCAGTGCTGGGGTAATGGTTGGACTTGATGATCTTGGAGGTCTTTTCCAACCTCGCTGATTTTATGATTTCTTCTAGACTCATTTGTTTTTGATGTACGGGAGAGATGGAGTGTTATTCTGAAGACCTGGGACACTGCATTGGTTTATATGACTGTGGTGGTGCTTATGCGATGTAGTGGCTGCACTGGGTCTTGTGTCAAGTGGGATTCCATGGTACAAAGTGACTGAGATGTTCAGGGAAGAATGGAGCTGCTCATCTGAGACCTTCCATGCTGGTCCAGGGCCAGGGCACCAGAAAGGCAGTTCCTTCAAAGTCACAGTGGTTTTGAGCTCAAGATTTGCATGGCGGCTTATTCTGAAACCTTTTGAAATATTTCCAGCTTTTAGCTTGAGGCTGGTAACACCCCTGCTTACCTTAACAGCTGCTTTTCCTATGCCAGCTGCAAAGTTTCTTTATTTTCATAAGGACAGTTTGCTTTGCTTTCCTTTTCTGCTTTGGGAGCTTTAAATCATGCTGGCAGCTAATCTTCTGTGTTTCTGGTTTGCTTGTGTGTGATGTAAACTCTTGCCAATGACTGGCCACTTGGGCTACAACATAGAGGTGAAACTACATTGCTCCAAATGCAAAATCTTCAGTCACAGCAGCATGTGCTGGGGGTCAGCTCATGAGCCTCAACCATGTGTGGGTCAGGGTGGCATCAGTGGGAATAAGGAGTATGAGCCGCCTTTTCTCCTGCTTTACTTGAGTCATTGCAAGAGCCCCAAGCGCCCATCTCCAGTCACATGGCAGATATGCGGGACCTGCAGGACTCCTCCTTTACTCCCTCCCTGTTGATGCTCTCTGGGCAGCACCAAAGCTCAGCTGTAGCTACATAAGCTAATATGTGATGTCTGAAAGTCAGAGGGGGAGGTAAGCAGTCTCTGAAAACCACCCTTCTCAACATCTTTCTCAATCCAGACTTATTATAAGACACTTTACTTGCATTAAACTTAAATTCATCCATGTTTTATTCAAGTCTGTTGCTTATTCCTGTTATTTATTGATACTCAGTGAGATGAATAAGTAGTGAAATGTGTTCTGTTCATTAAGGAAATGGGCTCCCACATAATTTGTCTCTCTTCTTTCTTTTAATTTTGCCTCCCTTCTAGGTGCATGCTATGCTTTGTGAGAGCTGTGTGCTCATTTCTTGTAGATGGAGATTTATGAGTCAGAGGGGGATGATGAGAGGAGAAAGATTTATGCCAGTTACAGTTCAAAGGCTGCATATACCCACATGGGTCCAAGGGGAAGGTGTTTTTTCAGGCAGTTGAAATAGAAGTGGACTTCTCTCTTGCTTTTCTTTTTTTGGCTATCACAGTGTTCTTGTTCTTCACAGGATAGATGTATTATTAATGACAGGCAAACCCAGCGATTCTGTCCCTGTAAAATACCAGCCACATCAAAAGACCCAAGCTGAGAAATTCACATGGACTGTGGGTGTCCTTAACAGAGCCATGCCTCTGAAAGGCAGGGACCAAACCCACTTCCCAAATGGGAATGAGCTTGAGCTGAAGATTCATGCATAAGCAAACTCCAGGTAGTAACGAAGTCCTGCTTTGAGGGCTGACCAGTGCCTGTCCTTGCCCATGCTTCTCTGCCTGATGTAGGTCATCTGAATCTTGTGTCATAATAACCTTTGAACACCTGCTTAGCAGCTGTGCAAGGCTTCCAGTACTGTCTTTATAAGCATACAGATCAGCCCAGTTCTTGGCACAGACTGTGTTAGCCCCCACCACATGCAGTGGGTGGATATGGCTTTTAATCCAGACATGGTATACCTGTACAACCATGTGAGTCTCAGATGTCTGTGCAGCACTCGTGTGTGGACAAGGCTGTTCCAGGGGCTGTGGTCAGTTGCTTGGCTTACTGAAGGTGCCAGCCCAGTCTTCCCTGCAGGTTTACAGAAGAAACTGGATGTGGGCAGAGGGTTGTATATAGCAAAATAGATGTATTTAAAGACAGTCTGCCTGGTAAAGAAGTGTTTAATAATGCACTGTTTAGTTATCTCCACATGAGAGATTAATAGCCTCTGCATGTTAGTACCAAACTGGAATGCCTTGCAATTCCCGTTGGCATAATTTCCTAAGGAAACCTGGCTATCCTTTTCCTAAGGAAATTGCTGTTTGCCTCTCAGTCAGCCTTCCTATTAACTTCTTAAACGCAGCTGAACTTGATCCGTAGCTTAAAGGATGATAGATGTATCAAAGGTAATTACTTCCTACATAATGAAAACTGATGGTAGGATAAGAAATGGTCCCACAGAAGGAATGGACAGGAGAGAGAAAATCTGTTAAAGCCATCGTGTTTTTTTCTATGCGCATGCAGAGATTTCCTGGTGTGAAATGACTCGCATGGAGTGCCACGAAATGGGGAGGAGCAGCTGGGTTTTCAGGCAAAATAGCACTGGAAAGGGGCTAGTGGCTACGTGGCTGGCTACTCCAGCCTGTGGTCTGTACTTGAAGGGCACTTGGGAGAAGGGTGTGCAGGTTCTGGAACAGATCTATTGTCCTGACAGTTTGTGCATGTCCCTTGGGCTGCAAGTTGCTCATCCTGTTATTAAGACTTGTCATAGTATATATTTCATTACCAATAATAAAATGAGATAGTGGCTTTCTTACTCTTGGCAGTCAGAGACTGTGATGAGTGAAAGATAGAATTCTTTGAGTAATCAGTTGCTGAAGCTTTATCTTGAGTTCTTTGATTTGCATAAGCAAGACACATTAAAAAGGAACTTAAAGGAAATTCTTGTATAGTTCCATCTACTTTTAAATGGCTGGTTGAAGGCAAAGTGGTATGTTGTACTGGTTTCCTAAAGGATGTGGTAAAATATCCTCTATATCCAGCCCAATCAGGGACAGTTTTGGTTTGGTTTTGGGACCACAAAACCTGCAAGTAAGATCATGAATATTTTGAAGTGAGTAACAACAACAGCAGTTATGAAATTATCACAAGTAATTTCAAGATTGATGGATAAATTTTAGCTCCAATTAATCGAGTACAACAGTCAGAGAACCGTATTCTGTCTTGGGAAAATACTGGCCACGTATGCATTGAAATAGAAATTTCAGAATGATTTATTTATTTATTTAATGAAACCCAGGAAAGAATCTATGCTAACCATTTACTTGGGATACATTGGAATTCCCCATACCTGTTAAAGTTGTTACCCACCCAAGGGATCAAATTGTCGATGCCCATGGGCATGGTGTTACCACCAGGCTCTAGGTTCTTGGTGTCCCCATTTGGCACCCCCTGCTTTCTGTATCTGTCTGTTGATTCTGGTCTCCAATGAAGGTTCTGGCCAGTTTTCCTTCCCATGCAAAATGATTTTTTGATGACTGTATTTTTCTGGTAATGCTTTTGTCAAAAACTCCCAGCCTGGCCTACCAGTGACC